GTGATCCACATGCCCTGGCAGAAGTGGAATCACCTCTGTCGGTGCTGCTGAAGTGCTGCCAGGTTTGCGCTCTTTGGCCTTGTGGCCACAATCCACGCCACGAGTCAAGTGTGTCGGATGGACCAGACCCTGCAACGGAGACTACTTTGTTTATACCCTAAACCCTAAACCCTAAACCCTAAACCCTAAACGTCCTGCCAACCTCCAGTTGTCTTGAGGCGACTCCGGCAGACGTGGGATCTTAGAGGTGCTGGGAGCAGCCTCTGGTCTGGGCATCCGGAAAGACTCCGAGGTGCGAATGCCCTCCCCCCCCCCCCCCCCCCCCCAAAGCCCCAACGTTAGTGCCAGCTTGGATCAGTGCAAGGTGATGGGATTGGGCCAGTTTGCATGTAAGACCCCATTGTGGACGCTTAACCGACTCCACAGCAACTTGGATCTTCCGGGATGCTTGGAACTGTAAGACCCCAAGGTGGGCGCCGATCGATATGTGTATTAACACAGAGCCGCGCGAGTTAACATCCCCTCGCGGTGCGCGGCGGTTCGTGGCAGAAGGACCGAAGTGCCTGGGGGATGCTACGTAGGATAAAAATGCATCCATTCTGTTGGCTACTCCAAGCCCTAAACCCTGAACCCTAAACTCCTGCCCCACAGACCTTAAAGAAATTGCCCGTCAACCTTCAAGTGCACAAGGGCTTATGCCTTGTAGGCCTCGCAAGACGGCGACTGAAGCTACAGTTGATGCAGCATATACATGCATAATACACATATATATATATATGTTGCTTCATGATAACAATGATCGCCAGGAATAATAAATATAAAACAAAATTATTGCTAGTTTATAGCGATGGCATTAGCAATAGCAACAGCAACAGTTTAAACACTAAGTGCGACATCTTAAAGCCTATACCAACCCACGATGCACTCGCTGCTAACCCTACAAGCCCTAAAACCCACACGAGCCTCAACCTCCCCCCGCCTCCGTCATCTCCACCGCCAGCAACTATCCAAAGCCATGGCGGGTCGGTAAGCCCCCCCTTGAGCCGCAGAGAGCCGGTGGCAAGTGGCTTTAGGGTTTGGGGGGCCTTAGGCTTCGCTTGGGTACTGGGTTTTGTGACACTCAAACTAATGACTAACCCAAACTACCCAGGCGAACTGTCGAAGTGTATAACAGGCCTCTATTTTTTCGGGGGGGGGGGGGGTTTGAACTTCAGTCCGGAAGATGGGGTTAAGGGGCAGCCCGGTGAAGTTCTTGGCTCTAGTGGGCATCTCCGAATGGTACGAGATCATCTTGGCACAAGAAGCGCCAGACTGCATGTCTGGCTTAGGGCCGAGGGTTTGAGGGGTTAGGATTTGCCAGATGGCTGTTCTTGTGACTTTGAGGCGCGCATGAGTCTTTTTTGGTTGATTTAACGGGCTTGTCCCCCCTCAGGCTGCTCGCCCTCAGCAGGGTCATCTGTGTACGGCTGCCCATCCTTGGCGTGTCGGCTCTGTGCGAGAACAACTTTGCAAGTTCAAGCCTGAGGAGGAACTTGGTACCCCAGCATATGATAATCAGGGCACCCTTTTTGTGGTTGGTTACTTTATAAGGGAACCTTGAACCAAATGTAAAGGGGAAAGGGGTACCACTGGGCTACCAAGCTGATGGTCTCCTGAACTCTATACTCCCCTTAGAACCTTAATAACAAAAACAATGTCTTTAATATCCTCTTGGGTTTTATGTAAGCAAAGATGAAAAAAATGATTCCCCAGGGGGATATAACCCTAAACCCTAAACCCTAAACCCTAAACCCTAAACCCTAAACCCTAACCCGGAGACATATTTAACACACAAAGGTCCACTGCGGCCCACACAGTAATTGACCGTCTTGGTCCGGACCGCTTGCTACTCACCTTTCCACAGAACCTAAACCCTAAACCCTAAACCCTAAACCCTAGACCCTAGACACTAAACCCTGAACCCTGAAGACCCTAAACCTTAGACCCTAACCCTAAAGAAGCGCAGCCCAGGTTAGACCCTAACCCTAAAGAAGCGCAGCCCAGGGTCGATGTCTTTGCCGTTCTTGTCTTGCTGGAGAACCAGCATTGCATCCTCTTCTGCGTCCTTCTGCACGGCTTAGGACCTAGGGTTTTCGGGTTGAAGGTTTAGGAACCCTAAACCCTAAACCCTAGAGGGAGGGTGTCTTATGAGGTGGCCTCCTCTTGCACGTTCAGCCCCGATGCAAGCACAGCTCCCCTCACTCTCCTCGGCAGCTCGATCCATCAGCTTCTCCATTTTTTCTTCCTCCTTCGGAGGAGAGTGCTTTCGGCGTCTGGGTTTAGGGTTTAGGGTTTCGGGTTTGGGGTTTAGGGTTTAGAGTTTAGGGTGACGGCTTCGTTGGGCGAATGTGCTGAGGGCTGCTGCCCAACACTGAATCGTCGAGAGCGCCCAACCACCCTTTAAAACGGAGCGCAAAACCATCCTAAGCCAACGCTGCCAAACACACCAAACATCCCTTAGCCCCTGCAGCAATATCCATGTCAGAGATCCCCTGAAAGCCATTCAATGGTGCTGCTTGGGGAATTTCGTTGAACATTGTGTGGATCGGAGAGGGGGCTTGCGGAAGCGAGGATTGCGCCAGCAGCTGGCTTTGCTGTAAAGCAGGAAGAAGCTATACTGAACTTGGAACCCTAGCAAAACATATAATTTTAGCTGTTTCTTCGAAATTGCAGTACCCAGACAAATTAACAAATGTTCCCAAGTATCCTAAGGAAAGCGGGAATCATCGTCTGGGTTTGGTCCGAGGAATGAAAAGCTTGCGAGCTCTTAGTTGGTTTCTTGGCACTCTCCTCGAGCATCTGCGCATAATCCGCCCGCGCACTGGCTCTCTCCTGAGAAGGGCTTGAAAACCCTAAACCCTAAACCCTAAGCCCTAAGCCCTAAACACTAAACCCTAAATGAAGTATTTGCAACTTTCACGCTTAGGGCTGTCGCTTCGGGGCGCTCTACTCCATCAAGGGACTACGTAGAGTAAAGACCCCCCAAAAACGGTATTTCCCAAAATGGGGGGTACCCCTGTTATCCCCAAAATAGAGTAGAGGTCCCTGAAATGGGACCCCCAAAAAGGGTACTCCCATTGTTTTGAAACCCCCCCCTCAAAAGGGGGGTATTTAGGGTTTAGGGTTTAGGGTTTGGGGTTTAGGGTTTAGGGTTTAGGGTTTAGGGTTTAGGGCTACGTGTGCCCACTTCCTTCGACTGGGTCGCCGGACGCCTTTGCCGACCATCTTGGCCGCGTGCCGCTCCTTGAGCTCCAGGTGGGGGGGTTTAGGGTTTAGGGTTTAGGGTTTAGGGTTTAGGGTTTAGGGTTTAGGGTTTAGGGTTTAGGGTTTAGGGTTTAGGGTTTAGGGTTTAGGGTCAGTGTAAGGTTTAGGGTTTAGGGATTAGGGGTTCCCCTACCAACCCCTCTACACTACCCCCCCTAGGTTCCCCTCATAGATTTAAGCCTAATTAAGGTCATTTAAGGGGGGGAAAATAGGGGGGTAGTAGAGAGGGGGGTAGTAAGGGAACCCATGCTAGGGGTTCTATGAACATCGGGGTACTTTGCGGTCCCTGTGAGGTGATTCTGTTCTATTGAGGGGTCGAAACGGGGTACTCCTATTTTGGGAAATACCCAGTGGTTTTTTCTCAGTTTGTTTGTCCAGTCAGAGTGCGCGTTCTGAAACCAGACTACGAGTAAGAATAGGTTGTTGGGGGGGAAGACCCATGTGGTGAAGAAATTGCAAAAGGCCCGGGGCTTTCGACTCTGAATTTTAATGAGGTCAAGCCAGGATGGAGCAAGCCCCAATTCCTTGCATGCAACCTTCGATGCGCCCCACTTGCAAGGCCTACGCCAGCAGGGTTTAGGGGTTAGGGTTTAGAGTTTAGGGTTGAAGGCCCTTGATGACGGATCCCTCCCAGCGTAGCCCCCCGAATCCCTACACACCCTCAAACCCGCCGAGTCTTAACGAACTGAACTCTGAGACTGCCCTAAACCCTAAACCCTAAACCCTAAACCCTAAACCCCTTCACCCTAACCCCTAAACCCTAAAGCCTGTACAGGAGGCGGAGCTCTAGGTCTCCCGGCACGGTGCACGGCATCCTGGTGCCACATTGAGGCAAAGAGTCTCAGGGTGGTTACATGGTCCCTTTATGTGTGCCCTTAAAAAGGGACCCCGTAGTCGGGTTTAGGGGGCTTAGGGTTTAGGGTTTAGGGTTTAGGGTTTCAGGGTTTAAGGGTTCAGGGTTTAGGGTTTAGGCTTTAGGGTTTAGGGTGGGTCCCCTTAGTAGAGGCTCCGCTGTAACCACGTCAAAAATGTACATTTTCAACCACGACAAGCTTTTAACACAACCGCGCTAAAAAAAATGGCACGCCTATTTTTCTCGCAGCTGTGCCCAGCATATACTGCCTGGTCCAAAGAGTGCTCACAGGCCTCTGGTCAAAATGTCAGGCACTTTCAGTGCCCGTTGGATGAGCACATCCTTCTTGCCAGATGCTTTCTGGCCATGCTTTCGAAGCAACGCTTGCAACTTGGCCACGGTCAGCTTCCGCAGGCTTTCCTGCGCGTGGGAGGTTTGGCTTAGGGGTCCAAAGTGCAGCGAGCCGTGCGGTCTGCTAGCCTCAGCTTCTCGTTCAGCTTCTGGGGCAAGCGAAGCTCTCTCGACAACCTGAAACAAAGCAAGATTGCTCCGAAACTACAAGAGGCAAAAGCAAGCGCCTCTACTTCTTGTCCTCCCTCGGAAGCCGCTTTTTGAGTGTTTGGTTCTGCGAAATTGTGGAAAAACGGGCTTCCGTGTAAGGCACCCAAAGCCTTGTATACCCTAAACCCTCGCCCTGAGTGTTCCATCCCTCAAAGCCCGGCTTGGCGGGGTGTGTCGCCCAGAAAGCCCGCTTTTTGAGTGGTTGGTTTTGTGAAAGTGTTGAAGACCGGGCTTTTGTGTGGCCGCCCTTGGAGAAAACTGGCTTCCTTGCTGCGCAGGGACGTGTTTCTCGCTTCCCTGCCTGTGGGCGTGTCTGGAATCTTCCTGAACCACATAGTGGGCCTCGAACTTAGGTTTCGCCAGAACTAATAATGCTTTGAGCATCATGACTTCGCCGAGGGGCTGCGCGCCGCCTGCGCAGTGCGACACACCCCGCCAAGCCGGGCTTTGAGGGATGGAACACTCAGGCGAGGGTTTCGGGTACAAGGCTTTGGGTTTTGAGCAATTTCGCAGAATTCATATGGCAGCCCTTCCAACGAGAGCACCCACGTCTGAACAAGAGACTGCTCTTCACACACACGCTTAGGATTGACAGCATAGCCCACCGTTGACCGAACTTCTGCCCTCCAGTGAGCCACTTGCTCAGCTGTGGCTAGCACCAGCCACATACAACTCCAGAAGCAACGGCCATGAGGCGCTACTTGTACTGCGCCATCGGAGCAGATGGGCAAGCGATCCATCTGGGCCTGCCGAAAACTCATGCAATGATGTTCTTTGCTTTCTGCAAAAAGCCTTCAAGGGCCTGCGGCGAACCTGCTTGCATCGCTTCCTTATAAAGTGTGAAGCACGCACAAATGAGTCTGGCGGTTGCAGCTCGCTCAGGTCTCCACGCAAGACAAGTCAGACAACTCTTCAACCTGACACGTTTTGTTGCAAACCCTCATCAAATTCAAGAACTTGGTTCGTGAAAAGCCTGGAAAGCGGGCTCCTGCCCACAATGGGCCCGGTTTTCAAGCACTCGGTTTGTGAAAAGCCTGGAAAGCGGGCTCCTGCCCACAATGGGGAATGAACAACCCCCCAAAGCCCGGTTTTCAAGCACTTGGCTCGATCAAAAAGCCTGAAAGTGGGCAGGACCGGGATGAACAAAACCACCCCCCCCCCCCCCCCCCTTCCTTCCGCCCCCTTCCTCCCTCCCGCCCATTCAAGCATTTGGTGAGGCAAAAGCCTGAAAAGCGGGCTTTAGGTGTGGCTTTTGGCGGTCAAACAAGCAACCCACTTAAGCTCTCCTTCAAGGAATCTCTTGAAATCTGTCAAGTAACCCGCCTTCTGAAGGCACTGCTTCTTCGAAGCCTGGCACAAGACTGAACTTTCTGTCCGCACGAGCTCTCGTGCTGAATTCTCTGTCCACTCGCCAGCAGATCTCCCGCCTGCTTGCCCGGGGAAGCGAGGACAAAGAGGAGGAGGAGGAGGAGACGGACCTTGAGGTCAGCGATGAAGAGGAAGAGCCCATCGCTCTCGCTCTTGCTTCAAGCAGGCGAAGACGGCTGTCTCTACACACGACAGTCTTCTGTTTTGCTAAGACAATAAAAAACAATGAGGTCAGGTCCGGGGAAAGTTTCGAGGAGTTTCGAAGCTACATGGGTAAGCTCTAGTGAATGGCCACCTGGGAATCAAGTGGAATCGAGGTTGATGATACCTGATCAGCCAGCCACATGACCTTGAACCCTGGGCAGTGTAGCGTGGCAAGGAACATTTCTGTCAATGTTCTATTTTTTCTGTCATAGTTTTAAATATTTGGCGTGGTATGGCCATGTTCCCCTTAGTATGCGCCCCTAAAAGGGTACCTCTTATGTAACCCTTATATACCCTATACAAATTAAGGGCCAATACATCAAAACCCTTTAAAGGGGATTTAGGGACCATATTAAGGGCCCATGAAACTGCTCTCAGAAAGAGGCATTGGGCAACACACGACTCGCATGTGCGCAGAATCCCGCAAAAATCAAAAAGCATTCTTTCCTTACAAGGGCAATAGAGGGAAGATTATCTTTAATTTTTTTTGGGGGGGATAGACCAAGAGTAACCTATGACAAAAAAAACTGTGTCCTTTTTGGTTTCAAGGGGATCGTAAGGGAACCCAAACGCCAAAGAAAGGGATACGGGCCTACTCTGGGCCCTAGCTTGATGGCTGGTTGAGGCTGCAACTGTTAAGTGCAAGGTTTTGAGTGTCGGGTTTATGGGATTCAGGGTTATAGGCGAAAACCTGTACACCCAGTAGGGTTAGAACTTCAGGCTCGTGGAGTCTTGGGTCGGTGGAGGTGAGGGTTGGACGGTTGGGGTTTTCGGGTCCTGGGTCTTTATGCGGCTCAACCTTCTTTAACATGATGGATGCCCGGGTTCTGTAAAATCGCAACTTCGAACGCCAAACCTTAAACCCAAAACCGACGCTCGGAAAGTGTGGGTTGTTGATATCTAGGATTCACACCACCCAAAAAGCAGCAGACATTGACTTGGGAGTTGGGCCCTTTTTGGGCGTTCCCGAAAGGGGGGGAGGTACTTTCATTTTTGGGCTTTCTTTGGGGCTATCTTGGGGGGGGGGAACCTGTTTTGGGATACCCCTATTTCATTGTAAAGGCTCTGCCCCCGAACCGCTACAAAGCCCGAAAACAAACTCGAGAGGTTCGAAACAATAAGGAAGCCAAAGCTACACCCAAAGCCACACCCCCAACTTTGGATGTTGTTTAGGGTTTAGGGTTTAGGATTTAGGATTTAGGGTTTAGGGTTAGACTAACAGCCCTTCATAGGGAGTATCACCGGGGGCACTAGAATCCCTATTCACGACTGTTAGTATAAGGGGGGAACATCCCAACCCCGAACCATAACCCCGAAACCCTCTTATAAGCCCCTTCAGCCCTGGCCTCGAAGATGTCAGCTGCCTCGGTTTCAGACTGCGCTGCGTCCTGCTTGAGGAAGTTGTCCTGCGCCAAACAACTGGGCGGGGGGGGGGGGGGGGCTCAGGATCTGCCGCCGTTTTTAGGGCTTTAGGGTTTAGGGTTTAGAAAGTTTAGGGTTTAGGGAGGAGTTGAGGGCCTTGGGGGCTTAAGGGGCGTTTCGGGTTTCGAGTTGGCGGAGGCTTGGTGATGTTCAGCTTGCTCCAATCAGATGGCATCCTTTCCCGTGCGGGATCATGTGGGGCACCAAACCCGAAGTTGTCGAGAATCAACTGAATTGGTGTAAGGTGCTGTCATATTGAGCATTCCAAGTAGTGAATGTGGAGTCAGGAAGAGAGGCAGACTTTGCGCAGCGCGTAAGGATACTACTCGACAAGCTGAATTAGCTTGCCACAAAAAAGACACTGCCCACTGGAGTGTCACAGTGGAACAACCACACGTGGCCTCGGTAAAGCGTCAAGGAATTGTAAACGTTGTACATTTTTAACAGGGGAACGACGGCAGGCAAATCTTCTGTGAGCCGTGAAGAACCGTTTTCGCACACCTGGTGCGCCAAGCAAAAGGTTTCTCATTTCATCGGTGGTTAGTGCTAGTCACTGGCAGTTGTGCTATACAAGAGACAGAAGGTGTCGCTAAATATAAGAATGCGAGGCTCTTTGGATCATGGCGTGTTTTGCAGACACGCGTGCAGGTCCGGAATGGCGTCGATCAAACTTGGAGTGATGATGGGAATTGTATGGACGCTACAACTGCGATTGATGGGTAAGTCTGCGCATAGCTCATGGAATCTACCAACGGCTTGCCTCATATCCCAGGGCACATGCTTTTTGAGCTCCTACATCAACATGCCTAAATCGTAGACCCTAAACCTAAACCCTACACCCTAACCCCTATGACAAAAAACCTAAGATGCCCATGTTCCGTGGAGTCCATCTGCGCATCTTTCTTGTCGCCGCCGCTGTAGAACCTGAGGTCAATGCACATAAAACAGGGGCCCATTTCAATCGGGATGGGTTGTTGGGCTACCTTCTTCTGCATCTTCTTGGTACATAGTAGGGTAACTTCTTCTGCATATTGTAGTTATAACATCGACTATGAAAGGGGCTAGAAGGGGAGAGTAGATTGGCAATTCTCTGGGCTTCTAGATTCTACACTACAGCAGGTCCGGGGAACCGATCACAAAAGGCTGAGGGCACAGAAGGGACCCTTAATCTTATTCCTTATAAAGGCCGGTGGCCTCTTTAAATTTATCTGTTGCCCTTATACCTTAGTATAGCCCCTGGATACCCTATTAAGGACCCCCAATATATGCCCTGTAAAACAGCAACCCTACATAAAGAGACCACCAACCCATATAACGTATTCCCCTATATAACCCCTATAGGTACCTTATATTGTCTCTAGAGACCTGAGTAGCCCCTAAGTAACCCCCAGAAAACTCCCCAGGTCCCTTAGAAGGGTCCCTCCTTTCGTACCTCGAGACAAGGGGGCCGAGCCATACCAAGTTTAATTCGGCTTATTCGAATTGAGAGATTGAGGCTCTAAAGCCCTAAGTTCGGATGTTCCCCCTTGTACTAGCAGTCATTAATAGGGATTATTGTACCCCCTATCACAATCCCAATTAAGGACTGTTAGTATAAGCGGGAAAATCCCTAAACCATAAACCCTAAACCCGAGAGAAGGGGGTACTAGAATCCCTATTAAGGACTGTTAGCATCAGGGGGGGAACATCCCTAAACCCTAAACCCTAAACCCTAAACCCTAAACCCTAAACCCTAAACCCTAAACCCTAAACCCTAAACCCTAAACCGATATGAGGGGGAACATCCCAAGGTTCAGGCTCGAAAGCCCCAAGCCAAGTCTGCGGCAGGTGGGAAGTCGGCCGCCAAGAAGGCAGGAAGCACACCCTGGCCAGTCGCTTGCTTTCGGGTTTAGGGTTTAGGGTTTAGGGTTTAGGGTTTAGGGTTTAGGGTTTAGGGTTTAGGGTTTAGGTCTTCCGAGACAGCACAGCCTAGCAGGCCCGACAAAGCCCAGAGATGCGAAGTACCACGTGCTCACATGGGCTAGTCTTGACCCGGTACGTTTCTTGAGTTCCTAAACCCAAAATCCTAAACCCTAAACCCTGAACCCTAAAACCTAAACCCTAACTCTCAAATCTATACCCCTCAACGCCTCCTTGCACTCCAAAGACCTCTCCACCCACAAACCAAAAACTCGGCAGGAACCCTTCTTAGTAGCCCAGTAACCATATGATAACAAGGGCACCCTTGTTTTGGTTGGTTACTTTATAAGGGAACCCAGAACCAAAAAATAAGGGTAAATGGTACCACTGGGCTACCAAGCCTTAACACTTTGCAAAGCCTCATGTGTGAGCCCTCCAGCCCTTTATTGCAGACAGCCTCTAAACCCTAAACCACCTCATACTATCCCTAAACCCTAAACCCTAAACCCTAAACCCTAAACCCTAAACCCTAAACCCTAAACCCTAAGTAGAAATGGTATGAACCCCGCAGCCTCGCACAGCTTTGTAAATCCTGGCGAGAGCGCCTTGGGTCCAGGGAGGCGGATTTCACCTCCAGGAACGACCTGGAGAGGTTTTGGCACTGGAGGCCCTTGTCCCCTCAATTCAATAAAGACCTGATTCAAGTGTGTGCCTTGGCATGATAGGGATTAGGGTTTAGGGTTCAGGGCGAAATCTTTGCTACCTGGATGGGGTTTAGGCGGCGGTTCGGGCTTCAGTGAAGTTTTAATTTGAGTTGTTGAGGGTTCCGGGTGTCTCAGAACTTCGGGCAGCTCCGTATCAGTATGGCCCGAAGTAAGGGACAGCCAGAACCATCCCCAACCTTCGAGGGATTCCCAGCCTGCCAGCGAGTGCTTACCGAATCCCTGAAGCTAAAAATCGAGCATTCTGCACATGTCGATTTCGGGATTCGAGTGCACCGAAAGCTATAATTCATCATGTATCACAACCAAAATATGTAACAACATGTGTATGTTACAACATGTACTCCACGCACCATTCAACTGATGCACTGAGCCTGTGGCGCTTTTTCGGAGCTGGCTGCGCCGCTGTTTGCGTACGCCTGACAGGATGTACGATGCCTGCAGCCTGGCCTACACCCTAAACCCTGGGACAGCAGCAGCAGGAGCAGGAGCAGGAGCAGGAGCAGGAGCAGGAACAGGAGCAGGAGCAGGAGCAGGAGCAGGAGTAGTAGTAGTAGTAGTAGCAGTAGTAGTAGTAGTAGCAGTAGTAGTAGTAGTAGTAGTAGTAGTAGTAGTAGTAGTAGTAGTAGTAGTAGTAGTAGTAGTAGTAGTAGTAGTAGTAGTAGTAGTAGTAGTAGTAGTAGTAGTAGTAGTAGTAGTAGTAGTAGTAATAGTAGTAGTAGTAGTAGTAGTAGTAGTAGCCGTAGCCGTAGCCCTTTATCAGCCTCACTCTGCGACTCACAGGAGCGCGACATAGGGCCCATCATCTACGGCGGGGCCAGCGGCTTGGGGCTGCGCTGTTTAGGGTCTAGGGTTTAGGGTTTAGGGTTTAGGGTTTGGGGTTTAGGGTTTAGGGTTTAGGCGCCTAAGGGTATCAAAATATACTAGTATAAACAATTGGAATACTAAACTGCTAACACGATAACTAATGCTATGATCATAAAAATTAGATGATACTACCATGATAATATCAGATAATGAGACTATGCTAATGTAAGATTCCAATAATTTTAAGCAGAACGTAGCTTCAGGGCCTGCGTTTTCCCGAGCGTCGGTGAGGTTTGGGGTGTCAGCTCGCGACGTGAAGAACTACCTTCATGCCTGCAGGGAGTGAGGGGGGCCCAGCTGCAATTTTCCTTCACGGCGCACCGAGGCATCAAACTCATATGATACCGTTTAGGGTTTAGGGTTTAGGGTTTAGGGTTTGGGGTTTAGGCGCCTTCAGCATCTGCATGTCCGAGTGGATGTCATCAATGGTGTGCCTGGCATTTTGACGCTGTGCCCAAGTTGCCCCGAACACCCTGAGCCCTAGACCCGGCGCAAAACCCCAAGCTGCCCCTACGTGCCCCCCCCCCCCTTCCTTTTTTCCGGCAGCTCCCTTCCCCAAGCGGACCTGTAGAATGCCTCCAGCTGCTGCCTCAACTGGGGGTCCATCACCTGCACAGCAGGCGTTCCCTAGTTTGTGTAAAAAAATGTGTCTAGGAGCGTGATGGGGCCCTACTTCCAACAATCTCCAAATGGGATGCCCGTCTGCCTCAAAGCTCCCCAGATTGGGAAGAGGGCTGGGGCCCTTGGTTTAGGGTTCCCTAAGCCCGAAACCCTAAACCCTGAGGGTGTAGGGCTTTGTGGTTCGGCGTGCTACGCGCTTTGGCCAAAGGACCTTCAAGGGCAACTGACGCCATCTCCAAAGCAAGGGCTTCTTTTGTTGGCCCCCCTTGGGGCATGGAATATTGCTTTAAGACTTTAAGGTTTAGGGTTTAGGAGGTTTAGGGTTTAGGGCCCAGTGTCCTGCCTCATCCTCACTTTCCCCCAGTGAAACCAAAACCCGAAACACCGAGGTCATTGTATCCCCCCTAGGCCAACCCCTACAAACCCAGATTGTCACGGCGTCCTCTACTGCCCCTGCCCTATATGGCTAAGTAACGACCCCGTACGCTTCAGTTTTTTGTTTTTGTTTTGTGTGCGCGTGGGGCAGGATTCTCTAATTCTAAACCTTCAAAGTAATATAATCGGATTCCATAGCAACCCCATATGGCAAGCAGTGGTGAGATGGCATGCTCCACGGCCTCTGGTGGCCATGCATCAGCTTTGCCCTCCTCGTGGTGAAGCTCTCTAAGGATTACCTGCATCACCAAAACCCCACAACCCAGAAGCTTGCAAGATATGACCTCTTAAAGCCTACGGTAGAACGGCAGGACGGTCTGGTAAGCTACAGTCGCCCCCTAAATATGTGGCATCATCTACTGCTACTACTATTGCTACTACTGCTACTACTGCTACTGCTACTACTACTACTACTACTACTACTACTACTACTACTACTACTACTACTACTACTACTACTACTACTACTACTACTACTACTACTAATACTACTACTAGTACTACTACTACTACTACTACTACTACTACTACTACTACTACTACTACTACTACTACTACTACTACTACTACTACTACTACTACTACTACTACTACTACTACTACTACTACTACTACTACTACTACTACTACTACTAATACTACTACTACTACTACTACTACTACTACTACTACTACTACTACTACTACTACTACTACTACTACTTCTGCTGCTGCTGCTGCTGCTACTACTACTACTACTACTACTACTACTACTACTACTACTACTACTACTACTACTACTACTACTGCTACGACGACGACGACGACGACGACGACGACTACGACATAAATGACGACGACGACGACGACTACTACTACTCTCAGTAGTATCAGTTGCACCATCAGCAACCGTAGTCGTAGTAGTCGTCGTAGTCGTCGTAGTCGTAGTAGTCTAGTAGTCGTAGTAGTCGTAGAGGCGGCCTCGCACCAGCAGTTAAACTACTGTTGCGATTGCTATTGGTATACTAGTCCTTCAACGCCGAAGAGCACGGAATGAGCCGTGCAGCAATGCAGCAACCGGCGCCCTGACATCATGAAGCCCTAAACACGAAACCCTCAGGCAGCACAGGGCTCAATCTAGGAGCTGTCCTCCACCAGGGAGGTGGGATGAGCTTCCTGGCCCTGTGCGCACAGGCTACTCACAGCTGCTAGCAGGTGTTCGAACACAGCATTTGAAGGGCGGGTTTCGGGTTGCAAAAAGTTGTCAAAAACAATGAGCTGTCTGACAGCTATACCCCTAGACCCTGAACAAACCCTGCGCATAAGCACGTGGTAGTGGTGCATGTTTAACCCTAAAGGATCCATGTACCCATGTAGCATACACTTGGGCCTTAAAGGGGTTGCAATCTTGCAGCTTTAGGGCCCCAAAAAAACTATACAGGTACTTAGTAGCCGAGTAACCATATCCTAAATAAACCCTAAACCCTAAACCCTAAATGATAAGGGCACCCTTTTTTTGCTTGCATACTTTATAAGGGAACCCCAGAACGAAAAAAAGGGGTCAAGGGTACCACTGGGCTACCAAGGGTACGTGGATCCTTTGGGTAAAGGCCCTAAACCCTAACCCTAAACCCTAAACCCTAAACCCTAAACCCTAAACCCTAAACCCTAAACCCTAAACTGCATCTTAAACGCTGAGCTCCAGGCATGGCCTAGCTGCAGCAGCTGCGCCTCGAAATGCACTCGCGTCACGTGGACTTGTCCTAATCCCTGTACCCTACGAAGCCCGTAAACCACTCGTAAACCCTGTCCCCTAAGACCTTGAGGGTTTAGGGTTTAGGGTTTAGGGTTTAGGGCTTAGGGTTTAGGGTTTAGGGTTTAGGGTTTAGGGTTGTACCCACATAGCATATACTTGGGCCCTAAAGCTACTAGATAGGAACCCCTTAAGGCCCAAGTGTATACTATAAACGGTACATGGATCCTGAGGGTTCAACACGGTACATCCGAAAAGACCCCACAAACCGCGTAAGCCCGAAAAAGGCCTCAAAAACCCCCCCATACTCCTCGTAAGCCCTCTAAACTCTAAACCCTAAACCCTAAACCCTAAACCCTGAACCCCAGATCATTCTGAGCAGATGCACCAGCAAGCCCATGGCTCAGGCCCAGAGGGTTTCTGGTGGCTGTCCTACGAAGCTTTGGGCCCTATAGGGGGGAAGAGGGCTAGGTTGCCCAGTAGCCTAGGATGAAAAGGGGTGCCCTTTTTTGCTTAAAGGGGTTTATAAGGGAACTTAAACCTCCAAAAAGGGAATAAGGGTACTACTGGGCATCCTAGAGGGGGGGGTCTCCATGATCGTAAATTCCCTAGACTATATAGACTCTGGGTAACAACGATGCCTTCAAAAAGAGGTGTCGCGCGACTCAAAGGGTGCCCACGTTCAGAGAATTTGCCATCACACTGAGCCCAAATCACTTAAGGCTCGTCATGAATTCTGCGCCTAAGCAATGCGAGACCCTCGAGCCCAAAACAGCCAGCGTGAGGCGCCCAGACAGAATCCACCTCCCCCTCGCCCCCTGAAGCCCTGAACCAAGCCAGGTTCTCCCAAAGATTCTAGTCGCGTGCTGCCTGCCTGTCTTAGATATACACTTGCAGTTGCCAACTGAGAACCCTGGCTTTGGAAATATGTAGCCATGAAGGTTGCAGACAAGCATTAGCCTGGGGCCTCTTGGGGCTTTTGCGCTTTCGCGTGTTAAATGCATCTTGCCCCACCCCCCGCTCACCCCACAACACAAAAAACGGGGAGGACAACTTTCAGAACTGACCATGTGAAGTTGAGTGCTTCTTGCTAGTATCCCCAAAAGGGCACCGCCTACATTGACCCACCAAGATCAATAAATAAATGCATGAATAAATAAAAAAAACAAAAATAAATACATATACATGTATATATATATGTACAAATAAATAAATAAATAAATAAATAAATAAATAAATAAATAAATAAATAAATAAATAAATAATATATATATATATATATATATATATGAGCATATATACACACAATCACCAAAAGCAGCAATATGGGGGGGGGGTTCCTGAATTAGGGGTACCTTCTTGGGGTTCTTATTATATGGGAATCCTGCCATTTAATCCCCATATAGACCCTGACTCGAGGATTAAAGACCAGGGATCGCAGAGCAGATGTTTCTCCTGCCTCAGAAGCTCACAGCGCTTGACTGGCATCTAAGGTTTCGTGTAGACTTCGCTGCTCTGTGCATAAGCCCCCCAAAAAAGCGCACACTTTCAGTTCTATAGGTGATTATACTATCCCCCAAAAGTGTAAAGCGTACGCATTCAGCTACGAAGTAAGAGGTGGTGGCCTCAAAGCCCTCCATGCTATTTACGGATCAGGGTTTGGGGCTATTATTTGTCCGCTTCTCTGGAAACCCGTCTGATGTGGTTCGTAAACCCTAAACCCTAAACCCTAAACCCTCAACCCTCGAGAACGCGAGAAATTTACTTGACAACCTTCCCATGTGGTCGCCATCATGTGGGTGAGACAACGAGTAAAAAACCTGCGCATCCTTGTGCCGATCATCTGGGATTTAGGGTTTAGGGTTTAAGGTCTAGGGTTCAGGGTTCAGGGTTTAGGGTTCAGGATTTTTGTGCCAGGGATGCTCAACGGGTGTGTTCCGTGGACTGAGTGGCTGATGCTGGATCGCCAGAAGGACGGCTGATGACGGCTGGCGCCAACGAAACCTCCGACCGAGCACACCGTAGCGTGCAGCCTCGACGGGGTTGTGGGTGATGTGCAAGCCTTCTCAACCACTCTTCGGGGAATGAAGACCGAACCTCAGCAACAACTGCGAGGGTGGTAGTGTGTGTGTGTGTGTGTCACCTGAGCCTGCTCTCCACGGCTACAGGCCCCGAGGTGGTTCATAGCGGCAGCTGCTAAAGAACAGGCATCGTGCCACGAAATCTTTGAGATTCAAGTACAACTACACACCCAACAAACGAAATTAGTTCGGTTTAAGGCAGCGCCGAGGAGACCATGCGCGACGAGTGCCAGCGAAAAATGCCAGCCTAAACCCTAAACCCTAAACCCTAAACCCTAAACCCTAAACCCTAAACCCTAAACCCTAAACCCTAAACCCTAAACCCTAAACCCTAAACCCTAAACCAAATCACAAAGCTGAGCTGGAAGCCAGCGAAGGCATGTCATTAGTTGTTCACCTGACCACCCGCGATGGCGAGACTCTGCAGCACTCGAACGGCCCAGGGGTAGTTGAAAATCACCGGCGCTTGGGGTGTAGGGTTTAGGGTTTAGGGTTTAGGGTTCAGGGTTTTTGGGCATTAGGGGGTGCTGCTGGGTACTGATTTGATTTCTGGATGCTTTTGCGATTTGCTAGAGGCAGCCGCTATACCAGGACATAGCTCGAGACTCCTGTCCTGAATGCCTGCATGACTGTTGTGCGAGCACACAGGTGTCGAACGAAACACGCCCATCTGCCACCAAATTGAACAAGGACCTTCAGTGTTCACTGTTGTGCGGTTTCAGGGGCCGCTAGCATCCACAGTTTATGAGAAGCTCCTAAACTGCAAACTCTGAATGTCGTGCAAGGGCGTCCTGCAAGCCACCTTCTGGGTTTGGGGTTCAGGGTTTAGGGTGCTGCCATCGGGCTCTTCTAGGTCAATTGACTCCTCGGACAGGCCTGCGCGTAGAGGCGCAGGATGTTCCTCGTACTCGCCAGGTCAGTGTAGGTCGGGCGTTGCGGATTCAGATTTCGTGCTTTTTTTGCCTTGAGGACCTTTCCTACTTTCATGCATCATGTGTTCAAGGTTTGTACGGCACTGAGGAAGAGTTGCAAGGCCAGAGCCTTAGGGTTTAGGGTTTTGGGTTTAGGGTTTAGGGTTCAGGGTTTAGGGTTTAGGGTTCTTCTGTGCCGCCAAGTCACATGCACGTCACAAACGTCTCGCAGCTGGCCTCGTCTGCCTACAGAGGCTCTTGATCACTCATCAAGGCGGTAGAAGACCCAAATAACTCTAAAACTAAACCCTAAACCCTAAACCCGAAACCCTAAACAACACCCTAAACATGACCGTCTTCTGACTTGCCTGCGTACAAGAAACACGACCCGATGCACGAAGCAGGCCAGCCCTAAAGGTTTACAAAACCCTGAAGCTGCAAAACGTCCAAAAGCTAGCCATAAACAACCTGAAAAAGCTCCTGAAGACCCCTAACCCTCAGACGCCTCCAAGATGGCGATT